GCCATAACAATGTGGCCCTTATCAAACTCACTCAACATTACTCCTGCCAGTTTTTTCTGCATTCAACATGTTAGCTTACCATCTAATACATCCCAAACCTAGACATGTGCCATTGTTTTAAGATAGTGGACATTATTTGCTTCATATGAAAGTGACCATAATATTTTTGCTCATGAAAAATGTGCCCAGATCGTAATGCCCAACCACATCCTCAGATGGCACCCTTTGTGTGATCTGACTTGATTGTGTTTTGCTCTGTATGTCCCAAATGTGATGTGTTTTGCTTCCTTTTTTTCATATTTGCTCCTCCCCGCCATCTGTGTCATGCTTAGGGTCCGGCTTACAGACTGGAACCTGATCTGGCTTTTCATAAACACACTGCTCATACACCTTGGCTGAGGCTGATTTCCGGTCAGATGGTTAAAGAAGCATAGTTACTTATATTTCCTAGCAGTGGGGGAGTAAGATAATCAGCCAGTGTAGGAATGAGGAGCCCCAGGCCTCAGACATTACGCCTACATGGACCGAGGAGAGAACTCTTATCTGCAAGCCTTTCTGTGGAGCCTCTGCAGATTTAGTTTCTATGAATAAATAAGTAGATAATGACCCAGTTTCTCAAATGAATATGTAGGTATCGACCCAGTTCAGTGGAGTACAAAGTGTGCCTCCGTGTACTGCTGTGTCTAAGATCCCTGAAACATTCTCAATTCAGATTAGCTATCTTTAACTCTTAGTCGGATTCCAATTGATTCTATCAACTGACACTCAATCAGCAAACCGGAAAATGTTTAATTAAAATGTCTTCGCTTCAAGTGGATTATTTAAGATTCAGCATAAGCCTTTGAATAAGAATCTTCAAGTCTAGCCAACTTGAAATACATATTCTGCCAGCCAAGGTCCATTGAAATGAATTCACTTGGATAACATTTACATAATTGATGTCATCATAAAGGAGCTTCAAACTTTTTGCTTTGCAATCCTGAGTAAAACTTTCATTCGACCGACAGTCACACGGGCCTCCAGTCAACACTTCCTGCTGCCACACCCAATTAGACCATGCCCCACCTCTCCTGAATTTTAGCCACACCTGTTACACATATGCACTTAAACCAAGTGCAATATATGGCCTTATCTGAAGTTAAATCTTCGTGAAATATCGAGCCTGCTAATCGACGGGCTTCTTATTGTTTTCTGGTGGCTTCTGAACTCTTGTTTCTGACCTTGTTTGCTGAATGTGATTTAGACATGGTATTTATATTGTTTTAGATTAACTTATAAACTTGCCTTGCGTTCTGATGTTGATTCTTAGATTATATTTTGGCATTTGTAATTTCTTGTTAGTAGCCATTAAACCTGCTTGGTCTGAACTTTTTCATTACAGGAACTCCCAAAATTATTACAAAAACATGCTTCTTGGCTATGCTTTCACTTTGTAAATCATCTCCATCCTTCTTCCATAACTATGTATCTGATCACAGTACAGTAGGCCTATAGAAGGATTCCCCAATTCTGGTCCAGAACCCAACACATTTTGCAGATTTCCTTGCACAAGCACACCTTAATGGGCTAATTAGCAGGTTTAGTAGATTTGAACAGGGAAATCTGCAAAGGTGTCAGATTCTGGTCCATCAGGATTGGAACTGGGAAACCCTGGGTCTAGCCAAGACTCCACAGTGCACAGTGCACAGGCATGGGATGCCAGATCATGGGATGGGATGCTAGATCAAAATGGGCATCACACAGTGATTCAGAGACACCAACTTGGATCACTTGTTAAATCACCAATGGCAATAATGTACTAGTAACAACAATGGTACTACTTCCGGTATTCTGGAAATGACATTTCAACATTGCTAAAACTGCACCCCAACTAGAAAATGGCCTCCTCAATGTAAATGTTTTTAGCATTTATTGACTGATACAGTATCATTTGTGATAAGAGCAAAGGATTTGTGTTTATACAAATTCCCTCCTAGTGCCATCAATGAGACTAATTATAGTTAAGCTAAAATCGATTTCAAATGCATGCTGGCAGTTATGTTCCTTTGAGATGAGCATGAGAGTGAGTCAGAATGACAAAAGGGCACTCTGAAGGCTAATTAAAGATGAAGGAGGATTGTTAATTAATAATGGAAAATTAGATCATTAAAATCAGTTACAGCCCTGAAGAAATCCCTGGTGGACTAAATTATTGTTAATTTCCTTAAATTCTCACTGCTTAATTGGATGATGAATTATGCAAAACACTTTTTTTATCAAGCATACACCCGCAATTTCGTGATCAATTACGTGATCATAATGTTATAAACCATATAAAATACTTAGCAATTTTAAGTGCCTGTGCTTTGTGTTTATGTGCAATCTACAATTCATGGAAAAAGGGCAGAAGTTCAAATCTGATGAATAAAGACAAATTAAGACATTTTGTCGCATTCATGAGTACAAGGCCGGGTCTTTGTGCGGTTTGCATGTTCTCCCTGTGTTCCTTGGGTTTCTTCCGTAGTGTGCCCTTAGTGTGCCCGTAGTGTGCCCATAGTGCGTCCGTAGTGTGCCCTTAGTGTGCCCGTAATGCGTCCGTAGTGTGCCCGTAGTGCGTCCGTAGTGTGCCCTTAGTGTGCCCGTAATGCGTCCGTAGTGTGCCCCTGTGCATGTAGTGTGTCCTTAGTGTGCCTGTAGTGCGCCCGTAGTGTGCCCTTAGTGTGCCCGTAATGCGTCCGTAGTGTGCCCCTGTGCATGTAGTGTATCCTTAGTGTGCCTGTAGTGCGCCCGTAGTGTGCCCTGTGCCTGTTTTCGGGGTATTCCCCAGACAGGGGCATTGCAGGGGAATGAATATCCTGGCATTTTATAAGGGGGCCCAAAATTTCTAGGCACAGCCCTGATCCCAGTCTATGCTGTGTGGGAGTATGGGACAGGCTCCAAGCTCCCTAGATGGATCCCTTATGCACTAAATTAATATGTCCATTAATCTTTTAACTGCTTGCCCTAGTTGAGGTCCAGTGGTGTATTAATACATTTATAGTACATTTATTATAAGAAAAGGAGGAAATTACTTTAATAACATGAACAATTGTCTCATATGAATTTAACACAAAAAGTCCCACCCAGTAATATATATCCATAATTGCCATGTTTTGTCTTTAGCCAATGCTAATATTCAGAACTCATTCTCTTTTCAGGAATTTTACTGTGTTTTATTTTAATTGACAATAATACTGACCGCGTACTTCCCAGAATAATCCTTAACTATATGTCATTTCTACTTTGCATGTGGTGCACTAGGAGGAGCTTACAGTTATACTGACAGATCCAGTCCTGGTCGGGGTCGGGGGGTCTGGAGCCTGTCCCAAGCAGTACAGGGCAACGGGGGGTGGGGGGAGGGAGGCTGCACCCTGCAGGGAATGACAGACAGCAGCATTGATATTTAATATAAATACCTTACAACTAGTAGCAGATAATTTTGCTAAAGCTAACTGGACTCTTTAAGCCCAGTTTCACTTACTTGAAGTAAGCAGGGCTGGACTGGCTATCTGAGATGCTGGGCTGATGGCAGAAACACCAACACAAGAAATGATAAAATATGTCTGGCCATGTTTGAACTGTAATAATTACCTAGTATTCTGATAATTGTTTTCTGCTGTTAATGAACTACATGTACTGTAAACATGGTGTCAATGTGAGAAATACTATAAATGTGCCATAAATGGTCTATGAAAATGATTTTGCAGATGGACTGAGGGCAGGAATAAAAACTCAGGCACATTATTCACATTTCTTCACACCAGTAGCCTGTCTGACTTTGAATGTTTTCGTTGATAGTCTTTGTTCTTCATAAATATCTTGTCATTATCATGATCTCATCTTGAATAATTAAGGCTCATTGCTTAAGTACCCTGTGTTAGCCATGTTAGCATCCATCCTTTGCATTATTTATTGTTGTCCCATGTCTGTGGTTGTAGCATAGACATGTACAGATGAAAATGTAAAAAAGACACTGTAATCTATTCAGAATAGTGGATTGTGGTCATAATTTAAACTTCTCTAAACTGTAATTTCCAGTTCATTTTCAAAAGGTTGCCCATAAAATATTAAGGAATAATGAAAGGAATAACTAATGTGTTTTATTGGATTTTTCACTAAACCAATAATGTGGAAACTGCTACTCTTAATTACTATGCTGTGAGTGTACTTTTGTCATTTCCTGAAACATTTTGTTTGCCTGATCTCTCTCTCCTCTAGTGTTAGTAAACAGAAGAAGGGGTTTCAAGTTCAGGGTAAACAGCAGGGAAAGATTGAGAGGCAACAAACTGCAGCATGCATTTAAAAGACAAGCGGCAAACACAGTGTGGTCCTATCACAGCCACGTGGCATCATGCCAAACAGAATGGAAACAAAGGACTTGTGAGGGCACCTGGGAGCGACTGTATATGTCTGTGCATTTGTGTTCTTCCTGGAAAGGTGGACTTATAGAGTGTAAGGGGGACAACTGAGCCCGTCTTGTATTGAGAGATGCAGGTGGTCCCACAACAATGAACAGAAGATAATCTGTTCAACTGAAGCCCCTCCACCCCACCCCCGGGCCTTGGTTATTGATTGGTGCAGGGGTCTGCCTCTATATCACTGGGGTTAGTTGCCGTTTGCTGGGAGGGAGCCGCGGCAAAGCGCCAGGGGTGCAAATGCGGCTGGGGCGGCACATTCACCCAGGGGACCCTCTGGGAGTCCGTAGCAGGTCGTGGGGTCGGCCTCCTGTTTAGTTAGCAGTAATGATCTTGTTAGTAGCCTGAATGGGCTGGTGTCTGCTTTCACTCAGAGCGTTGAGCGTGCCGTCCCTGCTCGTCCTCTGCATAGCCGGCCTCCATGCAGCACATGAACCGTGATTAATGGACTTCCAGGGCCTAATAACTCGTCAAGAAAAGGGGGGGGGGAGACTGGGAACAATTGCTGTGCCGGGGAGCTGGAGGCGGCCGTCAGCTTAGCCAGCTGCTTTGAGAGGTGGGGCTTTGACCGCAGCGGCCAATCAATGCCACAGCTGTCAACTGGCACAGGCCAGACCAGGCCTTTTCTGTGAATGTTTGTAAATGTAAGGGTTATAAAGGGTTCAGTCGGGGAGGGGGGCAGGAGAGTGCCATTGAGAGATTAAAGAGCAGCAGAAAGGGAGAGAGGACCTTCAAGAGAATGGGTAACCCTCTGCCACACAAACACAAATGAGAAAGGAATTGTTTCTGCATTTGATTCATCTCAGGATGTTCCAAGCGTTCTCTGATTACTCTGATTACTGTGCTGTGTGGTCTCCTCACGTATCTGTGTAGCATTAGAGTTGCGACTTTATTTTACATGCTAAGAATTAAAGGCTTCTCCTCGAGCAAGATACCTTATCGCTGCAATCGCACAATGCACTGCTTTAAATATACACATCTAAAAGTTTTTATACTTAAACATGGGTAAATATGATTCGTGCATGATGTGAGTCAGCTCCGAAACACTAGGGGTGGATTTACCAGCATGATGCAAATGTGCTCATGCGGTGAAACGGTGCACAGTATTAGGAGGCTATTTTAAAAATAATTTTGCAAATGACATCCACTGCGGACAGTTAAATAGAGGTACGGCCTAAACTCTCATATAAGGAAAATGCTGGGTAGTGACTAGTTCATAACACCATGCTATAAAAATCTTCCTCCCCCTCATTCTCATCCAGAGCATGTGGCTCAGAGCGACTGTGTTTCTGTCAGCTACACATAACCTGTATGATTGAATTTGACTATTAAGTACTATTGAATAATACAATGGAATTCATTGTTTCAAGATGTATTTAAGGGAGCTTTTGCTCGGGGTTAACTGATGAATGATTGCTTCATTTTTATCCATCCAGCCATGTATCTTTTAACTATCTTTTAATCCAGGGCCGGGTCATACCCTGGAATGCCCAGTCCATTGCAGGGCTCAATCGTGCCATCACTATCATGCAGTATTTAGAATAGCGTGTGCGTATGTATGTGCCCTGTGATGGACTGGCATCCTGTCTAGGCTCCCTGGACCCTGACCAGGGTAGGCAGTCAGAAGACAGATGAATTATAACAATTATTAATAGCAAGATCTGTTAAAATAATGTTTGTTCCCAAAACAAGCACTATTATTATAGGCTGCTGATCACCACCTTGACCTATAACATTTGTTCTTTGTCTTCTTTCCATCCTATTCACTCCATTTCTTCCTGCCTCCTTCCCTCCATCATCACGCACAGGCTTCTGGACCCTCCGCGCTCAGCATCCATGCCTTACGTCTAGGCCCAGGGCAGGAGATCCTCAGCTCCTTGGTCTCATTTGTGGAGGAGAGGAGGATGAAGGCCCCGTTCATCCTTACATGTGTGGGCAGTGTTACCAAGGCGACGCTCCGTTTGGCAAATGCCAGTATAAGGAACAGCAATGAGGTAGAGCCAGGACAATCTGGCACAAGAGTCCACACTGAGGTTTTCCATCAATGATGTTGGCCATTTTGTTGATGTTGGTATCGCTGTTGCTAAGACGTATTCTTTCTTAGTCATTGATGCAAGACACAGATCACCAGACTGACCTAGAAACTTCTAGAAAATAGCAATAAACCTGAGAAACCGCTTGTGTCTTATGCTCTGGCTTAGACTCTTTTATAGCCTCTGCTATTGCCTGCAAGCTTTGTGTCTTCCCTTCTTATTTATTTGTGTTGGGCGGCCTTTCTTGTTAGAGATTTTGGAAATTATTCTAGCCACTGTTAGCAGCTACTTTTGGTTCCACTCGTACCTTAGGGTTTTATTAATTTTAATGTGGTTCAGTATTTCCTTTTCTTCAGCTGTCCAACAAAAACCGCATTACTGTGAAAGAACTTGGCAGCCTTGTATGATTCAAAGTATTCAGCGACCAGTAAAACATGATTTAATATTGGGACCCAAGAGGCATGAATGGCAAGTAGAAAAATGGAAGCGTTGTCATGCAGTTGCTAGGTAGCAAGGTCAAGCCTTTCTGAAATCTACCCTGCTGTTAGGGTTTAGATTTACCACTAGGTCTGTGTGTGGACAAAAACGTCTGGTTTTTGTGTGAATAAAACAAACTATTGTTTAGCCTGATTAGTCTTCAGCAGTGATGTCACTGCTTGAATTAGCATTATATTTCTTGCCTTTGTTGTGAATAAATAATAATAATAGTTGCTCAATGAAAATGTTCCGTTACATGTTTTGGTGGTTCGCTGCACCCTGGATCCTAAAAGCTTAGGAGCAAAAGTCAAAATTGTCTCGTATTTCGAACATTTCCACAAAAATTCCATCACAAGAGCAATTTAATTTTAATTTAATTTCAATTACATTTTTATTTAAATTAAAATATTTTGATGGAAACCTTTTCATTGCCTCACATTTCGATAAATTGTAGCCCTTTCAATAATAAATAAGGGAATAAACACCAAGCTCATTTTGTTGTGCATTCAGGTGATTCACCTGGAGGGTCCCTTCGAGATCGTCTCTCTGGTCGGCACTCTGAACAAGGAGGCCCACCTGCATATCTGCCTGGCAGACAGAACAGGAGCCACTGTGGGCGGCCACGTGCTGGGGGACCTGCAGGTCTTCACCACGGCAGAGATCATCCTGGGCGAGGCAGCTGACCTGCAGTTCAGCCGGGAGATGGACGACCGCACGGGCTTTCCGGAGCTGGTGGTCACGTCCTGCACGGACCGGGCCTGAGCATCTCTCTTGGTGTCCCATGCCGCAGAGTGGCCTTTTCACTGCCTGCCTTTTCCATCTCACTTGTGTTATTTTGATTGTACATGTTAGAAGCTTAAAATGGTGTGTATTTCCCCAAGCTGGGCTGTACTCAGAAAGTCTTATTAAAACAGTGTTCACATGCACTGCAACTACTACTGGAAAGAAATTGAAAGACAAATAAATACTGAAATACTACTTTTTCTTATAGCTGCTTGATTGTGCCAAAAATCATAATAACAGTTATTTTGGTCAATATTGAAATCTTGATTATTTAACACAATCACTCATTCACTTTAGAAATATCATGCATTTATGGAACCTTTAAAAAAATATATAGTCTTTTTAACGGTGGATGAACTCTAAATATAAACTGAGTAACAAAAAAAAGGGGGCTGGAAAGGGGTGCGCTGCATTTATAACAGAAGACAAGATGGGAGTGTCATTGCGAAAGAAAATGCAATAATCATTTAATCTCAGTTATTTTGCTTTGAAAATTGTTGGAAGCCAAAATTGCAATTGAATAAAATACGAAAAATATCCCATCCCTACTATTTGTGGCTCTTATGTCTGTCCATGAAGGACTACGGTTTACCCTCATCCCACGGGATACATATTTTCAATTTGCTATTACATCCATCCATCCATCTTCCCACTGCCTATCCAGTACAGGGTTGCAGTGAAGCTGGTGCCTCGCCCAGGCAGCACAGGCAGCTGCTTTTGGCGAGCAGTGACACAAATGGGCTCCTCAGGGCAGGGCTCACCCTGGACAGGGCACCAGTCCAGCACAGGGTAACATTTTTTAACAAGCTGAATGCAGTTTATGAAAATTAACCAAGCTAAGATGCCTTATAAAGAAACAAACACTGGTTAATGTGCAAATAATTTTATAAATAAAAACGCCACACATTTGTTTTGGTTAAGCACTGAAGCATTAAAACAGATAAAAATCAACACAAGGCTAAATAAAAGGCTACGTCTCTGGAAGCATTTTCTCTGTTTCCAAGCTGAACTGCCAATGCTGTGAAGTGATCTGTGAACCAGCAGCTGAGTGAACATCTCCATATACACCACCTGCACAAAGAAGGGGGGCTGTGAGAATCCCGCTGTTTGTGTGTGGGGGCTGAGGGGGCCGTACCTCAGGGCTCGCCAATAGATGTTTGACTAAACCCTCCTTTCAAAGAACTTGACCCGCTGACTCCTGCAGCACAATGCAAAAACTCCCCGGGGATTAGCAACGGCCCTGCGGCGAGCAGGGCCACACGGGCGAAAGAATGGATCTTCGCACCATCTCGATGATGCAGCCCTGTGGAGGGACGGGGGAGTGGGAATTAAGACACGAGAAAGCAGAAGAGCATAAATATGATGGACATCCCACTCATTTAGCTATCTGAAATCTGAATTGAAATGAATTTTACGTGGATGACTTGAATAATCTATCTAAATTGCTCCTCAACTTGTTTCCTTCTTTGACTCCATGTTATTGAATCCCTGTTAATATTAAAGTAGCTCTTTCTGGTTGACTTCACCAACACCATTCAAGAGCATCATCCAATCACGCTGGTCTACATGCATGTATTTTTGCTTCTTTTTTTAATCTTAGAGAGGTAACTGATGTATCTGCTTAGCTTAGTACCAGTATTTATGTTTCCTGCTGTGATTTTCATGTGCTGGTCATGCATTTCCACGCAGGTGTCTATCAGCATGCAGCCAGCGACTCACAGGGTTCACACGCGCAAACTCATCCGTTCAGCTTAAGGATATACTTTACAGATCAGCCGCAATAGACTTGTTTATACAGTACTGCACAAAGGTCGTATCTGTTTTCTGATAACTTTGCTTTGTGAAATATCTGACTGTGTATGCCAGATTTGAACCTTGCACATCTGCGCTTGCACAATATCACACTTCATGACATTTATGAGTTCTCGATTAACAAGTGATAATCTGGAACAAATTAGCTCAGAAATTGGAGAACAACCTGTATATGTAAATGATCAGTAACTCTATATTATAAAGTACAGCAAAAGTAAAAAGTAGCAAGAATTCCTTTTGTTCTTCAAAACGTTACTGATATCTTACTAGATGGCTAGATGAACATCGCTTCAGCTCTCCTCAGGGGCACCTCAACCATTCCATGTATCCATTACATTCCACCACCAGATCACTTAATTAACGTATTCAGTTAAATCATTTTGTAAGGTATTGATTAGCCAAATATAGTTTGCTACTGCTTGAATCAACAAATAAATGACTATATCAGATGGTTACTGCAAATACGTTTGGGGGGGTTGTGGTAATTGGTAAGCTGACACTCTTTGGAAAATGTCATAGTTTCACACCAACATGAAGATCATTTGAACATAATCTGCTTTGACTGCCTAAGACTTTTACACATTACTGTAGAGGAGCTTAATGAGCGTAGTAATACTTCTGAAGATAGTCCATCCAGCGTGTACTGGCTGTCCTATAAGAAAGCGCACCATTAATAAGCGCTGATGAATGGCACAAGCTGAAGATGATACATTGTTTTCCATCATGTCATATAGTTTAAACCCCTCCAGTCAACCTTGTTTGGTACGATGGAATTTTGCCTGAGAACCCAAAAGCATGCTGAATATGAACAGAGGATGCTACTCTTCCCCGATAAACAGCCAGAGGGTCGCAGTGCCTCTGAAAGGAGATTTTACACACAAGGTGGGCGTCATGAAGGGTTTTGGCTGCCGCTTCCCCCCTCAGTAGGATGAGCTGTTCACAATCCCTCCGAATCCCAGACCGTCACTGTTCATTTGATACAAATAAGTGCCGTAGATTTCACTGTGTCTGGGAACTGGGCAGACAATCGCCCTTTCAGGGCGACATGAATAATTAGTCTGTCCTATAGTGCAGGAAGTCATTTATCTGGTACAAGGACAGTTGCAGGGCCTGTTTGTTTAGGGAATTTTCTGGTCACTTGAACAGGACATAAGACCACTGTTTCAAACAGGATGTGCTATTGTGGCTGCCACACATGGATGTGAACATGGACAGCAAACTTTACTACCCTCATTAAGCTCCTCTGATGGTCAATGTGATATATTTCTCTGTGCACTTACTGACACTGGACCATAAAATAGCTTTATTCTTTAGATACAAAGCCGACATTCCAGCTGAATGTAGCATTGTGGTTCTCTCTTGGTGGGGCATGTGGAAGCCCTGAAACAGACTCATTTTGTTAGATTCTCCTTATCTTCTTCAGCAACCATAAACAACTGTTTCCTGCGGATATAGTGCAGACTGACCAGACGGTGGCACTGCAGTAGCTGATTGCAGTTTGTGACAGTTAATATGCTTCTGACCCTTTTCATTGTAATCATAAATGCTATGGGATAATAATGATGATAAAAAAAAAAAAAACAATACAAAAGTAATAATAGGTTTTAGAGCAGGGGTCTCCAACTCCGGTCCTGGAGAGCTACCGTCCAGTAGGTTTTCTATCATACCCGGCTTCTGATGAGCCACACCTGTTCTCAGGTAAATACCAGGAACAGGTGTGGCTCATCAGAGGCCAAGTGGGACAGAAAACCTACTGGATAGTAGCTCTCCAGGACCGGAGTTGGAGACCTCTGGTTTAGAGTATTGAAAGGAGGGTAGCACTTTCTAAGGATGCTATGTCTATAAGAATATATGAACACGTAACATTATTACATTCATAAAGCATTATAAACATGACTATAAAAATTCATAAAAAGTAAAAAAACATTATAGCCTTGTTTATTATGCATAATACATGCTTTGTGAAGTGCTCATCTGTATTGCACTATAGATACCTTCAGAATGCAGTACAAAGCATCCTTAATGCTTATACTGACCATTATAATGGTGTCTATACTGCATTATAGAGGACAACTATAATTTGGTAATTAGTGGTCATTGTTGACACACAACAGCACACAGTGCACAACAACGAAATGGGTCCTCTGCATTTAACCCATATGTGACATAGCAGGGGGCAGCTAATTTAGCACCCAGGGAGCAGTACCTTGCTGGTCGGGGATTCGAACCAGCAATCTTTCAACTACAAGTGCGCTTCCCTTACCATTAAGGCTCCACTGCCCCTATAAGTAAAGTGTTACTGAAAAACAGTAATACAGTAAGTATTAAGTAAACAGTGAATAACCCATACCACAGAATTACAAGTGCGTAACATAACTAGCTGTTGAGTGTCATGCCCCGCTCGTCCTACCCTCTCGTCGGCCACGCCCCCTCATCTACCCCATGTGGATTCCCCGTGTTCACCAGCTGTTTCTCGTTGTTGTAATTAGTCCAGTGTATTTAAGTCCACGTCAGAGTATGTTTCCCCAGTCCTGTCATTGACGTTACATGTTTCATGTCCTATATTGGGAGAAGATAAACCCGCATTCCCTGATCTCTCGTCTCGCTGTTCCTGCTTCCACGATCCCGCGCTGTGACATTGAGTTCATATTAAAGTGTCTTAGATGTATAATGAGACTTTGTACAAGTCTAATTTTTATGGCAATTGATACTGTAAATAAATATGCCAGACAGTCAAACTCTTCACTTCGTTGGCTTTATGTAGAGCTGCGAAATAAGTCGAAAATATATAATATTGCAACAGTATTTTTAACTTTTTAAAAATACTACTATTTTTGGACTCATTGTTTATTTTAAATAGACTAAATAGTCATATTTTTCCCAAATTATTTTGCAGCATTTCCAAGTAAATTATTTTTTGGTACTATACTCCTTCGACAGCCTGTGAATCTTGTGTGAAAAATAATTAGAAAGAAAATCTACAAGAAATGTAATTACTGATGTGGTAATGTTATGAATGGTGTTTTAAGTACCTGAGCCTTTAACCAAGCAGCCTGCGGTGAGTAAGAGGTCGCCTCTCGCTGTCCGTGGCTGCCGCTCACCCTTGCACACTTAGGGTACCTTCACTGAAAAAGCAGAGGTCATTTACCAGGCCTTAAAATGGCTGTAACATACAGAAACAGCCTTTTGTCCATTCCTTTGCTCAAGATGTGAAGTAAAAGCGAGAAAAGATCGTTTGTCTACTGACGCTGAATAGCCAAGGTTGGTTAACCAGTCTGTAAAGGAAGCTCAGCTGAAGGAACGTTTAATTCAGCTCATTTCTCATTCATTAGTTTTCTCCTTATTTGTTTAGTTATCAGGCCCTTTGTCTCCTCCCACAGTGTGTGCCTCACTGGTTTTTTTTTTTTGTTTCTTTCAGCACTATACCCCATCTCTTCACAAAGCCAGCTTTAATTGGGGTTGGGCCTCAGTGGGTTTACTTGCCGCTCACATGCACATGCTACCTTTATATCGCTTAATTGAATCATTCTAGGTGTTTGCTGCTTGTTGAGATTGGCTTTGGCTTTGGGAATGTCATATAGCCTGGGAATGTGATCTGCAGAGCACTTTTCTCCAGGACATCACTAAACGAAGAAAAATATCTACTGCAGGAGTAAAAGTCTCTATGACTGCTCTTCAGTGTTGTTTATTTTTGCTATCATGGTCATTTCTTAAAATGTTTTATTCCTCAAAAACATCACATTCAGCATTTAATTGAGAATTACCCATTCATTTACAATAATTATTTTTCATGCATTATGATTGATGTACTTAATATTAAACTGTAAAATTAAAAATATGCCAGGCATTGGATAGCAAAACAAATTAAATGGTGAATTGGTACTTATTTTATTTCAGTGGTTTCAACATTTCGTTTTTTGACACAAATGTAACTGTGTATTTGGTCCAAAACTTCTAAATCAGATTTTGAAGCACATTACGGGTTTCTGTGAAAATATTTTTTTCTACAACATTACGCTGAAATGTTTATTTTTGTTTAAAAAAACAGACAGGTTTCATCATTACACCATTTGCTGGTGATATAATTTTGAACTTTATCCTGGTCTTTCTTATGAAAGCACGTTTCATTTTTAATCTCTATTCTCAAAGCCAATTCTGTTGTGACTATACAGTACATGAAATGACTGACATGCAGGGCAGTAGAGGTCATTAGAGTGGACCAGACCAGTCCCAGTTTACTTCAGTTTCTATCTAAACAGCCTAAATTTGTCTAAATTTGATTACAAGCATAAACGCTGGCAAATATGTGACCCCCACATGCTGGTGCTGTCATTACGCAAAAGATGGTGCAGCCTTGACCCTGACAGGAAATTGGCTTCCTCCAGCCCAACATCTAATTTAGACACATGAAGCGTTTGTGTTCCTCACATCAAGGAATTTGGAGACATTATATTGTTTCCCCAGGGGATTAGACCTCATTTTCACACTCTCCACGTCGACCTATAAGACCACCATGTCTGCATTAGTGTGCACAGACGCAGCTGATTTGGCGAGCGGTGATGCCATTGGGCGGTCCTCCACTGCGCGATCGTAGGTCCGATTAGTGAGCCCACGGCTTGCAGAGTGCAAATGATAAGATGGCAGGAGGTGTGAGCTGCCAGCCGCTATCAGCCTCCAGCCGAATGAGAAATCAGCCAACGACTTCATGCTGGGGCTTCCAGACCCACATTCTTCAAAGCTTATCATGGGATTATTTAAATAATCGTTCCTAGAAAAGTTTATCTGGCCTTGCAGGACAGGAAACATTTTCTTCTTCTGTACAAATCATGATTTATTTCCCTTTTTTTAAAGAATACAGAGATAACTGACTAGTAAGTGAAGGTTACACTGCTAATACTTATTCCAAACCCCCACAGCTTTTTCTGATCCCAACCTGGATTAACTTTATCTTTGCTGCTCAGGATTTTTAATAATTCATAATCTCTTCACCCCTCTTTGCAGAAAGATTTACTACTGCCAACATGTCCTTGAATGACAATCCTTAAAGACCCCAAATCATTCTTTATGCGATTTTCTGAACCTCCTTTAATCCAACAGGGTCTTTTTGCATTGTAGGTGTAGTAACACCTCACCCAGTTTATTATCTAAACCTTGGGTATAATTTTTTGGAAATATTTTCATTGTGACATTTATTCAATTTCATGTTGCTACTAATTTAACATGACACTGATGCCTTATCAATGAAGCATGCCAAATTGACTGTGTCAAAGGCCATGTTAAACCAAGCATGTTAAATGTCTAATGACTTCAGATCCTGCAAATGACTGACAACGTTGAGAGTCCTGTAACAGAGGCCAACCAACTGAGAGTCTGTCCCCATGGACCCCGTGACAGAGACGGCTGACAGAAGTTCATTAGGTCAGGCAGGAGCTGAGTGAATCTGACCAGCTGTGAGGAGACACAGGCTTCCTTTAAAGGGCCCTCGTCTCTCTTTGCTTACATTGGCACGGATGTGAGTAGCCAATAATGAGATTAGGATGAGCTCCCTGCACTTGGTGCTGTCACCTGTTTTCTGTGTTGATTGAACATCTCTAGTTTTTAAGGAAATGTAAAGCAGGTTTTGTGAAGAGAAGTAGGAGTGCACCAACAAGTCATCTCTGTCTTCGTCCGAAGTATCATGAAAACTTTGGACACTGACCAGCCCTCTTCCAGTGATAGCTTAACCTCCATCAAGCCAAGGCCCAGGGGCAGAACCCACCTTTGGGTCCCAGCTTTCTGCATTTCCGTTGCTAGTTTACCCTCAACTCTATCCAATAAGCTCAGCTGTGACCCAGATTTCCTGTCAAGAATACTCAATGGACTATAATGATGATTTCAGACTTCAGAGCACAGTAATATTCCTAACACCACTTTCTGCCTCAACCTACTGAGTTACTCTCTATACTCAGTTTTGGTGAAGAAGACCTTTACAGTGTAAAAATAGTGCGAGAAGTATGATTCAAAAGGGTTGTGCTTAGTCTCATAATTAGCTATGGGTGTATTTGGGGCTACACATTTGGAACATGCTATAAACCAATCAGTGTCATCTCCCATTCCCTCCAAATTCCTGGTGTGCATGTTATAATTATACCAATATACAGCAGTATAATAAAATTATACATTAAATTATTACTATTATTACAGCAGCACCCCTGACGTTCCCAGACCTACCACAGATAGCTGTGGAGGATCGAACGGGCCGGGCGTGACAGAACCGCCCCCCCCAAAAGCAAGAATTGAGAAATTAAGAAATTAATGTATGCATTTTAAATAAGAAATGAAGTCTTAATGATGACCTAAATAAAACTAACTGTAACTCATTAGTAATGAATGTGGCGTTACTGACTTCTTCAATGGGAGTTACTAATGATCAAGAACAGTATTATAACGTGAAACACACTGTAACTCATTAGTAATGAATGTGGCATTACTGATTTCTTCAATAGGAGTTACTAAAGATCAAGAACAGTATAAAGTCCCAATGCATACATTAATTTCTTAATGTTTAGAAAAGATCAACAATATGTGGTAGAGCACATCATGTGGCAAAACACGAGTCTCTGATTGACCATCCCTTCAGTTGGACTTCAAAGAAAAGTTTAGACCACGCATCACTGGCTTAGGAGACATCTGTTTGTTAACACAGATCTGTGATTGACTGTAAAAGGTCCTGCTTCGATGTTCAAATGCAACCAATTGTGTCTTTTTAGAAAAATTGTTACATTTGTATGGAAGCATTTATATTGACATTTTAAGAAAAATGTCCATGGTTAAAATTATACTGTGACACAAATTTTAGGCCATACTGCCTAGCCCCAACATGGTATCTATGCTCCACATTTTATAGTGTGTTTTGTAGACTCAAACATAGTCTGTTTCTGATCTTGACTTGGTCTTGCCCTGCCTTGGTCTTGGTGTTGTCACGGTCTCAATACACGCTGGTGTCACGCCCACAAGGGCGGGGCCGAGCACCGGTGACCAGTCGACAACCAATAGTGCTACTAGCGCTACTATTTGAACCGACTTTTCGTAGAAGCCGGTGCAAAGTATTGTTGCCATTTCCGAATGCGCTTTGCTGAGCAATTTCTTTGTCTCCTGTCTCCCCGGTTTGTCCTGCCTGCTGTCTCCTGCCTGCCCGTCCTGCCCATCCTGCCTCGCTTCCTCGCCGGTCCCTTTCCTCCCTTCCCATAGGAACTCATCATCAGTCTTTGTAGGATTGATCTCTCCGGTTCTCGACCTACACCTGTGACTTGACCTCGATTTTGGATTCCCCTCCTGGTTTTGTTTGCACCCGATCTTCTAAATAAACCTGCTTGCCTCCGCATTCCGGGGTCCGCCTCCTCCATTCTCACTGGGCATTACATCTGGCCTTGGTAATGACTCGGTCTCAGTTTAGGATATCTTGACTACATCACTACAGTGAAGTACTGAGTCACTGACTTTATAGCAGGTTTTTGCTTGTCAATAATGCAACCACTTTCCGTTGCCTCAAGGTAGCAATGCACTTACAATGCATCTGACTCCACCTCATTTTAAGACCGACATGCTCATGGGCGCTCAGATGCACGCAGATACAATTGCTATTTAAATGATGTAGGTGCTAGATGGGAAAATGACAACTGCGTGGAGCATATGCTAGCAAAGACACCCACATTGCACCTAGCGCCACTTTGCATGGCGTGTATGATGGGGCCTCAAAAATTTGCCTCAAAAGATTATTGTTGTTTAATGTTGGTGGACTTGAGTTTTAGATATTCTATTCTGTTAGTAGAGCATATTTATTAATTGCATACTGACAGCTTATGTTTCCATTTTTAGGTTATTACATTACTAACTAGTCCACTCATCCATCCATCCACTTCCTGTCATGGCGATAGGAGGGACATCCCAGATGCAGGCAGACGGTAAACCAGAAGGGTTTATTAACACCATCAGAGAAGTAAAGAGAAACAAAAGGACTCTGAGGGGTCAAAAATAGGAGACTGAAAAGAACAGTAGGGGAGACTACAATTACTCAGACTCGGAGTGAGGTACACAATAGTGAGGCAAAGGAAAACACTAACTAGTTACAGGGCAACCCTGACTACTACTACGACTAATACAGGTATTGACAATGACCAGAGCAGGAATCAGAACACAAGCAGGTACTAATATACAGGGATTGACCAGGACCAGTCAAGAAACAGGTGTGAATTTTTAGTGACCCGAGAGGGAGAAGACGGGATGGCTAGAAGCGACCTCTGCTGGCCAAACAGGAACATGACAGCCCAGGATCATGCCACTTCCCATTTTTTCAGGGTCCCAGAGCTATCCAGGATAGAACCAATCACACACAGTTTACAGATGCCATGTCACATGTCACCGAACCAAATGTTTTCAGACAGTAAAAGGGAAGAAGCACAAACACGGGGAAAACATTCAGACAAAAATGGAGCTTGGGGTAGGAATCAAACCCACATCCCTTGAGGTATGGGGCTTGAGTGATACTCCTCTGAACTAGAACATCACATCTCTACTAAATAATAAATGTATTTTATGTTGGATCAAATGAGAAACTTCACAGAAATAAAATGAAGTTCATCTTTCCCATAACAAACAAGTCTGTCTGATAATGTTGTAAATTTTGTCTGAAGGGCTGTTTATTACATTCCTGTATCACTCACCCCATTGAAAGGCAGCTATCAGGCTGACATCCCTCATTCAGAGCATCTGGGCTGGCACAGCGTGACCGTGAACATGACAATGACGTGTTTCGGCCAGGAAATGCTGAACAATGCCACTCATTCTGCATCCAAGTCTGATGACAAAGAAACAGTGACATTTCACCTTTATATATAATTTCAGTACAATTTCACATGTACACATGATTTCAATGCAGTTTGACTTTCATGCATGTACTACGCAGTACATTTTAATATTGACCCCAAATAAAATATAGCTTATATTATATTGACAAAAATATACTTATACTTTAACACTTATAATTCCATTTATATGGTAGCACCAGAGCTGCCAACTGAAAGCTGTGATGATGTCACCACTAACCCATCATGCAAAGCAGCACCCTCTTGTTTTCAATGTGAATAGTTTCCCACCATAAAAGAGTTTATCTACATTAGCCTCCTGAGACCCAATGAAAAAAGTGTCCTTCAATTATAGGTTATTTGTCTTTGGAGGAAATAAGACATCTTACAATTAAGATTTCTTCAAATTTATTTTTATTTTTAATTTTTTTTTTTTTTTTAATTATACAAACGAGAGGAGGCCATTCGGCCCATCGAGCTCGCTTGGGGAGAACTTAACTAATAGCTCAGAGTTGTTAATATCTTATATAGCTCTGATTTAAAGCACCCAAGGATTCAGCTTGCACTACGTTATCAGGAAGACTATTCCATACTCTGACTAAACGCTGTGTAAAGAAGTGCTTCCTTAAATCCAGTTTGAAATGTTCTCCCGCTAATTTCCACCTATGACCACAAGTTCTTGTATTTGAACTAATGCTGAAGTCACTATTTGGTTGAACAGCATCCAAACCTGTTAGAATCTTATAGACCTGGATCATGTCCCCCCTCAGTCTCCTTTGCTTGAGGCTGAACAGATTTAGCTCAACTAACCTTTCCTCGTATGACATTCCTCTAAGACCAGGAATCATTCTTGTGGCCCTACGCTGCACCTTTTCTAAGGCCGCAATGTCCTTTTTAAGATATGGTGACCAAACCTGCACACAATATTCTAGGTGATGTCTCACCAAGGAATTGTATAATCACAGCATAATTTCACATCATGTCCTCTTTAGTGTACAACAGGAATAAATATGTTTCCTTACATCAGTGAAAAGATAGATGCCAAAACAACATGTCCACTACAATGGACATAAATGAATGGGTGGGGTCTCAGGAGGTTAGAATAGGGTAGAGGCAGAGTTTGCAGCTTATACAGATCAATGTGGCCAAGTTCAAATAAGGGACAAAATATACAGCCTCAACCTGTGTCTGCATCTACATTTTTGGTTTTGGCCACCTGATTCTAAAGTATATATTGACATATTGAATACTATCTTAGTAAGCATGGAGAATGAATGAATGATTGAATGAATGTAATGATGGGAATAACAGCTCTTTGAAGGGAGCCAGATCTTATGGCTCCATTCCTTTTCGTCGTTCTTTTGTCTTTTTTTTTAGGGGATGAGGGTTACTAGGTTTATCTGTGAAATAATCACTAAGATGATGATTGGATAAGATTTGGATCAGATTTAGACTTAGACCCCACACCAATTTAATTTAATTTCGCACTAAATTACCCAATGTGAATGATTTACATTGTAAACATTATACAAGGTGACGCCACTCTGCTTTGTCAGTGAATTTACCCTCTGTATGAAACGTGTTACGTAAATAAAGTTGCCTTGCCTTGAATGCAATTCATGCAACACTTAATATTAACAAACATTTTATTGGCACAATAAAAAACGAGTATAATTAAGTTTTGTGCAAAACAAATTTGTGTGTGATTGCCCTGAACAGTGTGTTTACGAACACTAACTGAAAAATCCTGCTCATTCTGCCTTTAAGTAACGCGACAATGTCTACCTCTTGTGACTAGCTGGTTCACACTGTTCCTGTAAAGGACAGCGGTGTGGATTTTTGAGCAGGCAGTGAAATTTGGGCCCAACCATAAAAAGAATGGCTCTCAAGTACGACATGGATCCCTTCATTCATACCGAAGAGCCGTTAAAAAGAATTATATTGTTCATAGACGCTGCATGACTAAATGAATGTATTTTGACATAATATAAGATATTATTCTGCAGAGAACAGCGGTTATAGAATGCTTCCCATAATCTTCTCATTTCCAAATGATAAAGAATGAAAAGGAGGGAAGCAGGGGTTTGACCAAAAGGCTCTGTGGTCTGAGCCTGAAAGACAGGGACACACAAAAGACTATGGGATACCAGGCAGATGCATTAAGACGTTAACATCATTCTGAAGATGCACCTGAAACACCCAGATAGACAAACACACCCATTGACAGAAGTCCAAAAGGAGCACAGCTAAACAGACACTGCATCATAAGCCCAGCTGGAGTGCCGTCACATACGACAATCCTCTAACAAGACTGACAATCAGCAAAAGGCAGTAAATGTGAGCTGAGGACTGTTTCAAATCAATACCAAGTCCGCAAAAGGCAGCGTGAGGTTTCTGAATGAACTGGCCCTTATTCTTTGCAGCCAACAGTCGGTTGCTTCTTGTTGAAGACCCCGATGACAGTGGGTTCACTGTCCCCCAGTCTGTCACATCGCTCCATCGTGACTGCGACCCAGCACGCCCGCATCTCCACCCATGCAGGCACATTACTCCTCCTGTTGTTCCACAAAAGGACTCTTAAAAGGCTTTTATCCTGCTCCTGATTAATGACCCCAGTGTCCGACACGTCTCATCCCAATATTTTTGCTGTTTCAACAGTTGCCAGCTGTTCTGTGTTTCTGGAAAAACATCAGCATCTGCTAGGATGTGAATATGTGAATATATTCTTTACAGTTCTAGAGTTTTTTATTTCATGGAAAAAAACAAAACCATAATAACAGTGGGATGGTAATGATGGAAACCCAGTCAGATTTCAGGCTGCTCTCTAATGGTGCTGGGGATCTGTTCTCCAGATAGCTCCTCTATTATGGGCGACAAAAACTCTGCTTTTTCCCTCCCGTCTGCTTGCCCGTTATGCTGGGAATGGAAGCGAGGCCCCATTGGGGTGTCCTGCTTGGGGTCACCATCTAACGACACACGCAACCTTAACGAGGGACAACAAAGCAAGCCGAGCATACGAGGTGCCTGCCCCCCATCTCGCACTGGCGCGTTCTGATTAGGCTTGTGATGAAAACACAGCAGCAGGGGGTCTGCACAGCGTGAATGGGGCCTTTACATGTAGACATCCGGGGGCAGCCACCGGCTGGCCAGCCTAGCGCCAGCCGATGTAGCAGGCGGCTTCTACACAATTAGACATTTCCTGAGGCTAATTACCAGGCACACAGCCGCTGTCCTGGTGTGTATAACTCGGGAAAGTCATAGAACTTCCTTAACTTACAGAATTTTAGCTCACTGAGGCAAGTGAACCAGCATTTCTTTACTTTTCTCCTTATAATTCTAGCGTATTTAGCATTAGCATTAGCAAGTGTGGCAAGGTACCTCGCACCTCCTGAGTTCAAATCCCGTCAACCTCTGGTCCGTAGTGTTTGCATGTTCTCTCCATGTTGCATAGGTTTTCTCTGAGTACTCAAGTTTTCAGTTCAAAGACATGCTGTTAGGCTAATTGTTGCCTCTAAATTGTTCATAGAGTGTGATTGTGTGTGTGAGTTGGGGGTGTGTATGCACCCGGTGACATACTGGCACACTGTCCAGGGTGTTCTTCAGCCTTATGCCCTATGCTGCTGAGGCAGACGCTCTCCCACAATCCTCACCAGGATAAATGGTTAGAAGGTTGAAGGATTAGCATTAACAAAATCTTCAACAAAGTTATTTTTGCATTGTGGCAAATGACATAAAATGTTTGCCTTAGATAGAGGCCTTGCATCACCCATGTTAGTAATCACCTCCCTCGGATCTTCTGGAAAAGAAGCCTTCCAAAGTTCAAGAGTATCTGAAAAACATTCATGGCAGCCTCAAAACCCTTCTTTGAAGAAGACTTAAAGACAGGCTGAGGCCTCTGCATTAACCCGAGCTACTTCAACCAAGCTGGGGTCCAACCTATGACCAGCCAGGGATTTCAAGCTAAATTACTTTGCAGAATGAAGGCAAAGTGTTGTTAGTGATGTAATGAGCACATCCTCTTCTAGAGTTGAGCATATTGATATTTCTTGGAAGCTCTGGTGAGAGTCTTTTCCTAGAAGTCACCTCATTTCAAAACCTGGTCATTATACAGTATGTCACATATTTCTCAGTTCCTCCCACGACTTAGTCTCTCTATTCTATTGGCTTACGTTTGGTCATTATCCCTGTTATTAAAGAATCTCATGTGTTTCTTTCTCTAGAATAGGTTACCATCTGTCCATCTATCTTCCAACCAGGATCACAAGTGGACCTGTCCCAGGCTGCATACAGCACAAGGCTGGGGTACATTCTGGCACATACACACACACACACACACACACAATGGAGATCCTAGAGACACCAATCAGCCTAAATGTGTCTTTGGACTGTTGAAGCAATGGTGGAGCAGAGGCAGGATTCAATCCAAACTACTAGGGAGCAGGGAGGCCACAATGCTATCCACTGAGCCAGCAAGCCACACTGCCGATAACTATAAAAAAAACTATAAAAACTCAGGAGTGAATTGAAAACTACTCTAAATCCATCCAGCCATCCACTTTTTGAAACTGCTTATTCTTTTCAGGGTCGTGGGGGGTCTGAAGCCTATCCAGGGTGGGGAACCAACCCATCGCAGAGCATCCTCTAAATTATTTAGCTTAATGATTTCATTCCCAGAGGAAAGGAAACTTCACAATAAGACCTCTTCTTTGTCCAGTCTATTTCTCTGAGCTCATTTTATCATGAATATGAGATTTTGACCATTTTCTCATACTTCTCAAATTCAACTCCTGAGAAATAGCATTTGTTTGACGTCAGCCCAATTCCAATTAAAGATTGTATAATACTGTTTTTTCTTCTCCTTGTACCGATCTTTATTTGTCTGAAATAATTAGCTCCTGAAAAAACAGTAAGATCCAAAAGAAAACTTGATTGGATTTTGAATGAACCTGCACAATATCAGTAAATTTGTCTCAATGATCAAATTAAGCTCCGT